AAAACTACTTCTGCTTTGGAAAATCTAGCAGAGGTGAAAGCGACCAGTCCAAAAAAGTCAGAAGATAACTTCCATCCTATTCTCTGATTTATTAAATGTCTGTCAGCAATGTGAACTTACCTCTGAATTTCCTACCTTTGTACAGTGGACTAGAAACAGAGGACACATTTTTCAAGTGCAGGAGCCAGGCTGGCTGTGCTTTCTCCATGTGTTGGCCACCAAGGCTGTGAACCAGAGTCCTGAACCTATCCATGGTTTGAGTCCTGAAGTCCTGCCCTAGGAACTTGGACTGTCTCTGGACTATTAGCTGTGCTAATAGCTTTTCTCCTGTGAAAATGTGTTTACAGAAAGCAGGCTGAACCAGCCTCACACAGACCATCATTATTGCCTCCTGGTAACCTTGCAAAGGTGACAAGCTGCTGCTCTGTATTGTCATAACCCTGCAATAATTAGTGCCTTGCATCTGTAATGGAACCAAAGCGAGTAACATCAGGGTTTCTATGACACTGTTTTCATCATATATTTCATTTTTCAAAGAACATAAAGGCAGATACATCAATCTGCCAAGGAACTCTTTTTAATTAAAGCCTCCATTTTTCTTTTCTTGTCAAGATATGCAAATAGTTTGAGACATTAAAACTAAGATAAAAGAAATCCCAAGCACTGTTTATATATAGCCATTGTGATTGCGTTTACTTTGCATTACTTTAGCTGAAGCAAGCTACAGTGCAGCTTGACATAACTCAGAGCTGCTTTGCAGTGCTACTGAGGCTAAGAGTGGAAAAATGCCTTACCTAGCTTGGGGAGTCCACCTCCCCAAAGCAAAGATCCTGCATCTGGATATCACACACTGCTCTGTCAGAGGTGTCATGCTTACACCCTTGCTGCCATTCACCTATTCAGTATTAAGCTCTGGATTACTTCATTGGCCCAGGTTTGGAGGAAAACAAGGAAGTGATTTACTGCTAGTTCTCCATAGTTGTGATGAGGCTTTCTCTGCTACAGCATAGTACCCAAACTGTGTGTGTGATTGGTTACTGCACCTTATGTAAGGTACTTACAATGTACCTTCTCTTCAGAATCAGCAGAGATTGTGTTTGTCCTTGGAAAATGAGCATAGCTGTTGGCAGGTGTTTGGCTGCATCCAAATCTGTGGCAATTATCTCCTAGACCTCTCATCCTGGGATTTTACCTGAGAACCTTGGGATAAAGACCCATGTTATTAGTAAGCATGAGTTTGAAAGAGGGTTTCCAGTGTGCTTCAATGAGGTCATTTAATAACTATGGCACTGTACCACTTTTGATCAGCTTTGAATTGGTTACCATAAAATGGCTTGGGTTAGAAGGGACCTTAAATATCATTCATTTCCAAGCCCCTGCCACAGGCAGGGCTGCCACCAACCAGCTCAGGCTGCCCAGGGCCCCATCCAACCTGGCCTTGAATGCCTCCACTGATGGAGCATCCACTGCTTCCCTGGGCTGCATCTCACTGTAGATTCTGTTTGACCTCTTGATTCTAGGCTTAGCAGCCAAATAAGATCAAATAAACTGATCCAAATGCTGAAGTGCTTATTCAAACAAAATTCACTGTTTGTTTTCCTAAGATAAAGCATAAAAACCCTGAATCAGGAATTCTGGAACTGATCACTTAAAAGCTATACGACAGCATTTTGGAGATAACTAACAGAAAACGAATGCATGAGTTCAGTACGGATAGCACATTTTTTTTATTTTTTTCTTATATATTATCTACAAGCACAAGCTTTCATATTTTTAATGTAAAAATGCATACAGATCATTATATATATAAAAATCAACTAGCCTTGTAGCAAACTGCCAGATGCAACCATCCCCAGGTTTGGGGACAACGTGTCTGGATCCAGGTGCAAATTCAATGGCTGACCCTCACTTCCATCCTTGGTTGCACCGAACCCCCAGATATGAAGATTCTCAAAGTTCTAGGGAAGTCTTGGTTCCTGATCCAGGTCTCACAGCATGGGCATGACTAACTCTTCATCAATTGAAGATAAATATTTAAAAACTTCATAAATGACAATCAACTTGTTGCAGGTAACAAGTATCCATTTCACCTTTCCTCCCCTTTTTACTTTTTCTTCCTTCCTGTCCTCCCTCTGCAGAAATGGAAAGAGCAGAGGAGAGGAACTGATCGTAAGCATTGTATATGTAAAAAGCAGCAATTAGAAACAGAATTTAAGATGTTGATATCTGCTGCAAAATGGCTACTGAATGCAAATTCATGTTGCATTTGGTCTTTCCAGTGCTTGGGCACGTTGGGGCTCAATTTGCACACTGTAGAAATATGACACATTTATAGCAATAATATGTTGCTACATTGTGAGGAACAGCAGATCAAATTGCATTTAATGCTATGTAGTATGTATCAATAGATTATAATATACTCTATTATAATTGGCTTGTCAAGCAGCCTATTACACCGAGAAAAAAAAAATAAATGAGCAATTAAGTAAAGAAATTTGTATTTGTGTGGGAGGAAAGGTCATAAAATAGCAGCCTCCTTTCTGACTGAATGTTTATCATGTTCGGCAGTTTCCAAATTCAGTCTTTGCAAAGGAATGTTACTATTTTTATTAGAGGTTCTTTATGTAACAAGTAATGTTTTCACAGTGGAATATTTTCTTTCATGAAGATTTTATAACTTCCCCATAACGCTATAAAGATTTAATTTGCTGGGATTCTTTTGGAAAGTATTATGTCCATACCTTAGGCTTTCCTTCTTTTCAACTCTCTTAATACAAATATGATTTCTATTTTTTCTTGTAATGCATGTAGTACTGTTTTTGTATTTTAAATGCTGCTTTACTCTGAAATCTAAGACAGGATTTCAGAGAAAAGAGCTGTTGATGTTGTCTTAGAGAGGGATAAATCATTGCTTACAATATTAACATGATGACTTTCCTCATCAGCTGTGTTCCTATAGGATTGCAGGTAAGGATTTTGTTTGCTGCAGATTCATACAACAGCACTGATTTGAAAGATGACAGACTGATTTAGTGCCTGAACTTGCAAATGCTTACTCTTTCTCCTAACGTTGTAACGTACATGGATGCAAGTTCAGACCTTCAGCTAATGACTGTCAGTGCATTACTCTAACTCTCTCACACTCATGTTGATTCTGTATTACTAACAGGACTAAAAATTGGCTAAACCTCTCTTCCTCTTTATTTCATTTATTTATTTATTTTACAACAGTTAGAGGCATGACCAATAGTTTGGGAACAAATGTGTCATGAAGACAGTGATGTAATCTGTTGCCAGAACCACCTGCCCAGAAGCACACAGTCATTTCGATTGCAGACTGTGTAGCTGATGTATGGCAACGTGCCTGAATATGAGGACCAAAACAGAAATATTGATTCTGAAAGACTGGAATGAATTTTCACTATCTACAAAGGGAAACAGAGGAAATAAACAACAGCAAAAATATAGTATATATTTGAATGTGATTTTCATTTATGCAAATATTTTTTTTTTTTCTTTTTTTTTCACTACTTTGGTAAGTATCTTTAAGCCAGTGCTTTGAGAAGTCCTGACTTGGGACATTTCTCTGTCCATGGGGATATACAGACTTGATTCTCCAGCCAACAGATGTTCCATCATTTATATGGCTACCTACAACTGTATAAAGTGCTGTCCTACCAGATATCCTCACTCTTGTACATCTATAGCAAATTGGATTTGATAGCCTTTTGGTGTTATTTCCTCACAAAGGTGAATAACCATATGAAGTGCAAAGCAGTGGAGAATAAAGCTGTAAGCAATTGCTATAAGACTGCTATTCTTCAGAAGAAAGTACTGCTAATAATCTCATTTGTCACCCTACCCTTTGGCTGTGGTTCTACATGAGGTCAGTTTGAGCTGCACAAAAAGATGGCTAAAGGGATGCAACATAGTTGGTGAGGCAAGGATTAGGGTTCACTGTCTGAAAGTCTTCCAGTGTTAGTTCTAGAAGACTTCACTACTACAATTAAGACAAATAGACAGGGGAAAACATGATAGCTCGCTTCAATGTGAGACATGAGTGAAGAGCAGGAGAAAAAAAAACAAATGCTTTTTATCCCAGGAACCAAAAATATGATAAAATGCACTTTCACTTGAAAATGCCAGATAGAACCACAAAAAAAAAAAAAAAATCTGTGCTGGTTTAAACCACAGAGTGTTTCAAGCAACATCTGGAAGTTAAACAACTGGAAATTATGGCCTTTTGATATGGTGAAGGCCATTCACAACTGATTCATGAGAGCTGCTCTAATAGTAATGCTGCTTATTCTATTATGTTGGCCACAATGTCAGAAGTGGATGTTGGTGGTATGGCAGTAATGGCTGAACCTTCCCACCATTATTCTGTTACATTTTGTTGCTGTGTGACAGATGGGAGCAGAAGGGCAGTCTGACAGAATGGCATCTGACATGGAAGTGTGTATGAGGCAAAGGTGTGTCACTGAATTCCTTCACGTGGAAAAAATGGCACCAACTGACATTCATGGACACTTGCTGAATGTTTCTGGAGACCAAACAGTGGATGTCAACACAATGACGCAGTGGGTGATGCCTTTCTGCAATGGTGACAGTGACATGAAAGACAAGCCATGTTCCAGATGGCCATGCACAGCTGTCACACCATGAAATGAAGAGTGTCTCTATCAACTCATCTGCATAAATCAGCTGATGGTGGTAACTGTGTTGAAAAGTAGTGTTATGTAGCTGAGAATTTTCTCTATCAAGTAGTGCTGTTGTGCTCTTTGTAGTTTTTGTCACTTTACATGGAAAAAAAAAATAGGAGGCGATACTTTCAGAGCAGCCTACATACATTTGGGCTCAGAATTTAAACATTTGCCTTCCTATGGTTTAAGTTTTTCTTCAGTAGAAGATAGAGCAAGGGAAACTACTTGAATTGAAATAAATCCAAAACAGAATTGTAAACAAAAGCTAAAAACTACCCATAATGAAATCAACAGAAATGTGGTTATTTTTAAAGTTTAATTTCCCGATGCATACACTCCCATTTCCCCAAGTACAGTACTGTACTTCAAGGAGGAAACGCTGAAATGCCACTGGACTAGCTGATTATTTCTTGATGAATTCTGTAGTTTTAGAGGATCTCAAAAAGCAGCTGAACTTTAGCTCCATTGAAATGTTTGTCTTGCTAGCTAAACATTCCATGAAAAAGACCTTTACTGTATTTTTTGCATAACTCGCTAAGAACATCGGTGCTCATAGACCTGACAAAATAACAACAAGGAAGGACTGTTTGGAGTAAAAGCACACAATGCGCCAATTTAGAGCTGGTGAAAGGTGTCAGATGAACCTTCTGGTACAACACAGCAGCCTCAGTCCTTGAGATTACCAGTTGTGATGGTTGTTGCTGGACTGAAGACTGAGTCTTACTCTCCAAGTAAGAGGCTACTGAGCAGTTGGCTGGCTGGGAATGATGTTTAGGCACTACTGACTTGTAGGGGATTGGAGCCAGCCTTGCAGAAGCAGAAAATACTCTGTAAGTGCCAACCCCCACAATCATTTAGTCCTTTGGAGTTTTTTTTGTTTGTTTGTTTTTTCCACGTTAGCCCAAAGCAGTGTGGCTATAATACATTTTGAAACAGGAAGAAGTCTGATTCCATGCTACTCAAAAAGTGATGTGGATTCAGTTTTCTATTTTTTTAATAGCAAAGCTTTGACCATTTTTTATTAAATGTGCTCTGCCTGCCTTGTCCCTACCACAAGCTAATATGCTCTATAATGCTTATCTGGCTTAGTACAGATCTTTTTAGCTGCTGATTTTGGTAAGCATCTTATTAATAGCCTGCTTGACGTGCGTGGTGGAGCTTCGTCTCCGAGTCTTGCCCTGGACCATCTTTCGACGCCGTACCTCACGACAGAGCTCATAGAAGGCCTCCATAATGTTGCCCTCTCCTGTGCAAGCAGAGCACTCGTAAAAAGCACATGCTAGTTCTGTGGCCAGCTTTTCACCTTCCTCTGTGCTGACCTGCCTGGAGTGATCCAAGTCTGCTTTGTTCCCCACCAGGATCAGAGTGACATTTTTGGGTTTTTTAACTTCATCCAACAAGTTCTTGAGTGGTAGAACTTCCTCAAAACTGCCTCTGTCCGTGATGTCATAGACCAGGACGAAGCCTTCACCCCATCGCACGTGTCCTTCTTTCTGAATAGCATCCTCCTGTTTCAAAAAGACAGATACCAGCTTTAGGAACATGATTTTTGAAAAAGACACAAGGCCTTCATTCAGACAGAGACTGCTTCCCCAGGCACTGGAAAGCCACATACATCTGCCTGATTCTGTACTCTACACACATTGTTCTCTTTATTGTGTGGCACAGGAGATTGTAGTGGTTAAACTGCACCACAACTGCTCTTTCTTCTCCAGTCCTCAATGGGATATGTGGAGAAAATGTGATGAAAAAGGGCTTAAGGACTGAGATAAGGACAAGGAGATTGCTCACTCATTTCTGTCATGGACAGAAAAGATTCAGTATAGGGAGATTAATATAACTTACTGCCTATTACTAACAGACTAAAGCAGTGAGAACTCACAGCAAATTAAAACTACCATCCCCCTATCCACCGTCTTCTACCTCCTCCCCATGTGCAACACCAGGGAATGGGGGCTGTAGTCAGTCCTTCTCTCCACCTGCTTCATATGGGGTCCCTCCCATGGGATGCCATCCTTCCTGAACTGATCCTGCCTGGGCTTCCCATAAACTGCAGCTCACCAACTTGTGCTCCAACACTGCTCTGTACCATGGGGCCCATCTTTTAGCAGCACACTGCTCTATCACAGGGTCCCACAGGCGGCAGCTCCACATAACTCCTGCTCCACCACGGGCTCCTCTCCATGTGCTGCAGTGAACTTCTGCTCCATGCTTGAAGCACCTCTTGTCCTTCTGCACTGACCTTGGTGGCTGCAGGGCTGCTTCTCTCTCATTTCTCACTCTCTTTCCCAGTTGCTGTATTTTAGTGTTTTAACCCTTTCTTTAATCTCTCCCAGTGCACACCCAGTGTTGCTTATAGCTCAGCTCTGGCAGCAGAGGATCCCTTTTGGAACAGCTGGGGCTGGCTCTGATGTGACATGGGGCTCTGCTCACAGAGCTTACCCCTGCAGCCCCCCTGCTAACAAAACCTTGTCAAGTAAGCCCAATACAGAGACCTACACTGACAAGCCGTCATGGGCTGCCTGTCGTTGGCAGGCTGGTAGCAGGCAACCAGAACAGGGTCTCTGCTGAACGATAAGCAGCACACAAAATGCATAGGAATGTGCAGCTTGAATGCCTGCCATGTTTTGAAAAAAAGGGGTTCCTTGCTATGACAAAACTGTTCTACAGTTTGTTAAGAATCATTGGTAGAAGCTATTGAGACTCATCACTTGACTGAAGAAACAAACTATGGCTTTCTGAATAGTAATAACACATTAAACGGTTGGCCCTGAGTCAAGGAATGAAGCAGAAATAATTTTAATCCCAGTGTAAACCCTGACTTTGTTCTTCTAGTGTTTGAAAACTGTAAGCAGGGTCTCTTGCAGAACAGTCTGGAATATAGAACACTGGGTCTTGCAGCAAGCTTGTGATGGGGGGAGGAGGGAGAGCTGTGTTCAGAAGCAAATCTCAGTCCCCAGGAGTGGAGCACATTTACCACCCACCACACTGCCACCACCGCAGTCCCCTTCCCTGTCTGAGCCAAGGCATTGGATGTTGGTACATGCACTCACGCACCTGACCAGCTGTATCTAGTATCTCCATGGAAACCACTTCATCATCAATGGTAGCTTGGTGACGATATGTAGACTCTAAAATAAGAACACATTTTGTGAAATGTATTAAAAAAGAGTAATTTTTTTCTGTCTTCCTTACAGCTACCCCAGACATATGTTGACACATGACTTCACTAGATTTTATTTGTTGGAGGTGTTCCAGCTAGTCTGGAGCACACTCAAATCTTCCTTTCTACATCTGTGACTCTATTCTCTCCCTCCATATCTTTCTTTCCAATGTCTTATACTTACGGAAGGCTGTACCTGTGAACACTACACTCTACCCCCAACAAAAGGACTGAGTCTCCTGCAGCAGAGAGCTCTGCAAGACTGCAGACAGTTTTTCTTGTTTGCTCAAATGAAGACTGCCACTTCTAAAACACAAATTCTGCTACTCTGGATGTATCCAGCTCAAAAGCCTGTCACAGCGGAGCCTGAAGTCTGACAAGATCAAAACCAGCATGCTTGTAGATTAGGGATATAACTGCTATGCTCAGGCCTTACAGAATGATAAAATGACAGAAGAGTTAGGTATTTTAGGAATGTCTCTTGGAAACATACTGAAATCATCACATTCCCCTCTTATAGCAAGGGCTCAAGCAGTAATTTCCCCTTAAGTGATTTATAAGGATAGCCAGTGGCATTAAGCGTTCACACTATGCTAAAGGAAAAAAGGAACCTATTTACTGTGTCCTAGGTTCTGGAACTGCATAACAAATCAGAAACCTCATGACAAAAGAGCTTGTTTTATCTTAATGAGCTGATAAGTTAAATTTGATAGTGTTTGACTCAAAATTTGGAAACTCATCTATGCTAACATTGAGATTTATTACTGTTGCTGGCTCACAGATGTCCTATATCAAAAGGCAAACACGTATGCTATAAAACTGTGGCCCATTACTATGAATGCTTTGCGTTGTAAGAGACACAGTGCTTTTATTTGGTGTAAATCTCCCCAGAAGGAATGCAGGATATGTTAAAGGAAGGACATTTCTTGAGTTAGAGCTTCTGAAAGAGCTCATGTTTGGTGCATGTCTTTTTTTGGTTATATTCTTGAATGTATCACCTCTTCATAGTTGAGAATGTTTCAGTGATGTCAGCACTTCAAACACTCTCTTCCCACACCAAAAACTGTCACTTCCCCTCCCATACCCCCTGCCCTGCGCCACCTTAATTGCTTTACATAGCACAGCTGCCTCTAATAGGGACAAATGGTCAATTTAATTAGGCAGATGGTAACCAATCTTGCATAGGGCTTTAGGCAATGAAGGCTCTTGTGTTATTTTTTTTTTCTTTCTCTTTTCAAAGCAGAAGCCTCCCACTGCTTTTTGTTATTGTAAGGCTGCTAAAGGTGTTGATGTTCCACCTTTGTGATCTTGAAATTATTCCTGCAGAATAGAGTAAGATATATCTAAGAATCTCAGCATGACTTACCTATAGCACTTCCTGCAAGCGAATGCAGCCAAGCAAAAGCTTTGCTTTGGTGCAGAAGATAGAGTGATGCTGCTTTAGAAAACTAGGTAAGTGGAGAAAATGCCCAGAGTTAATTTGGGACTCTCTGTGCAGTACTCCCTACTCATGGCCACATGTGTCCAGTTCTGGGCTCCCCAGTTCAACAGTGACAGGGAAAGAAGGAGTCCTGTGGAGAGTAAGAAAGATGAGAAAATGCCTGGAGTATCTCCCATATAAGGAAAGGCTGAGTAACCTGGATCTGCTCAGCCTGAGGAAAAGAAGATTGAGGAGAGATCTAATTAATATTTGTAAATATCTAAAGAGAGGTGGGACATAAATGGATGGGGCTAGGCTCTTCTCAGTGGTATGTATCAATAGGACAAGGAGCAGTGACGTAAAACTTGAACACAGAAAGTTCCAGACAAACATGTGAAAGAATTTCCTTATGGTAAGGTTGACTGTGCACTGAAACAGACTGCCCAGAGAGGTTGTGGAGTCTCCTTTGATGGAGATATTCAACACCTGTCTGAACACCTACTTGTGCAATCCATTGTAAGGAACCTGCTTTGGCAGGGGGGTTGGACTCAATGGTCTTCTGAGGTCCCTTCCAACCCCTGCAGTTCTATAATTCTGTGATTTAGCATCTTAGATTTCATTTCCTGGGCAGAGAGTGGTATGAAAAGATTTTTCAAGCGAGTAATGTGATATTAGCTCTTCACTCATTTAGGTCTTTCAACCTAAATGCCTTCAATCAGCTGGCCCTGCCTGACCAATAGCTGTTAAGAATTGGTCCACACAAGTCCAAAAAAAAAATATCTTTCCATGTTTCCAGCAAATCTGTGAAATGATCTTAGGAAGCAGAATGTGGTCTTCTCCATGAAACTGCAGAATGAATCTCGAGAAGCAGACTTCTGCCTGCTTCAGAAAAGAAGTGTGATTCTTAAGAGAGATTTGAATTGAAACAGTACTTCGCCAGTGTTTCATGTTGCACATTTATCTCGCTTTGTCTGTCTTCTTTAGAGTGGAATTTGATTCTGGCTCAGTAGCATTGATTAGGGTCAGATTAGTGTAAATACAACTTAGTAGAAGTGAGTCTGTTTCCCTGCTTTGGAATGTGCGGTAGCTGGGTGATTTTTAGTGAGGAGTGTAAAACAGCTGGATCTTTAAAGCATTTCTGGTATAATAGCAGACATGGCTTTTCCTTCAAGGGAACAGAAACATCCAAAGAATCTGGTCAGATGTTATGAACCCTGAAGTTGTGATTTCCAATCTGTTCAAACTGAGCACCCTAAAGCCTTAAGATCCCATGATGCTTTACAAATAAGTGGCCTTGCTTTGGGTTTTATTAATGTTATTTTCTCAGTGCTACCCTTTATTTTGAGACACACAGCTAGAGAGAAAGAAGTCTTGAGATTCTCTAACTGAAATCATCCACAATACAAGATCTGAGTCTCACCTAGTGCTGTGACCCCTATTGGAGTGGATGAAGTAAAATACATGCTGGATATAGTTTGTCTGATCTCTTTCCTGGGATGAATCATACCTCAGAAGCACTTACTTACAAGTCTAAAATCAGTAAGGCAAATCCAGGCTGTAAATGTCTTATCCTTGCATTATCATAGTCAAGTACAGAGAGTAAAGTGTATAACATTGTGCCAGCTGTCTTTGTGATAAAGGCTCCAAGATGATACCAGGCAATTTTCTGAGCTCCAAAATATCATTTACACCAGGTGATGCCTATATTTTATAGTTATATGGCTAATATCCCATTGATAGAGAATAAACCTCAGAGCCATATTTCATTCTGTGTTTAGAGCATAATATGTGTACAGACTCTGTGTCAGAACTGTTAATCTCAAAGCAGAAGTAGACAGCTGATGCTGATGGAGTAATGGCATATCAGACGACAGAACTAAGGAAATACAGTAGTCATATTCAGTTCTGCTTTGTTATAAGCAAGCCTGACCTGTTCTTGTTGATTTGGGGATGTCCTATGTTTCTGTTCATATTCCCAACAACTAGATTAAAGAGGTTGCTATTCTGTGGCTCTGGAAGCTGATGTCAACTTTCAAGGTCCTCTTTTGCTTACAAAACTGCAATCTCACAGTGCTTTTGCTGTACAAAGAACTGGTTCTCATAGTTACTTTGTTTAAAAATTAAAGCTCATTCCTGGACTGTGTAGATTTGTTGAAAGGCTTGAGAAACATGACTGTTGCAACTGGTTTGTTTTTCAATTCGTAATATATTGCCACATTAATTCATTAATAGGGACTGGATAATTTTTAAAAAATTCTGCAGCTGTGGAAATAGCTTTGGAAACCTGATCTAGCTGCAGGTGTCCCTGTTGGTGTGTCACAAATCTCCTTACTCTTCTCAGCAATCTTATTGTGCAAATGCAGAAAATACTACTAACATTGCATAGAGACAGTCTTTAAGCCTGTACTGTGCAGACTGTCTGAGGATATGACATTCAGTCACAGCTTGATCACAACCTTGTGTGATGCTTATTGTGACATTCAATAGAATTTAGGTCTTTAAGTACTAAATAGTCATTTATCAAACATGCTTGTCCAGTGCAACCTATGGAATACATTTGTTCCAAAAGATTATGTTTTCTAGAGGAAAAAGTCTAAGAAATAATTACTAGGTTTTAGTCTGTAAGTCTCAGTCTAAGAGATGCATCCCAGAGCTCTGAGAGAACTGGCTGATGTAGCCGCCAAGCCACGCTCAATGATATTTGGAAAGCCATGGTGGTCAGGTGAAGTCCCTGGTGACTGGAGACAGGCAGCATCACACCCATTTTTAAGAAGGGTAAGAAGGACAGTCCAGGAAACTGCTGACCTGTCAGCCTCACCTCTATGCTGGGTCAGATGCTCCTGGAAGCTCTGCTAAGGCATATAGAAGAGAATGTTCGAAAGATGAGGAACTGTTTGCATGATTGTATCCAGAGAATGGTGGTCAATGGCTCAGTGTCCAGATGGAGACCAGTGATGGGTGGTGTCCCTCAGATTTCAATACTGGGACAAATGCTTTCATCAATGACACTAACAGTGGGATTGAGTGCACCCTCTGCAAGTTTGCAAATGACACCAAGCTGTGTGGTGCAGCCAGTACACCCAAAGGATGGGATGACATTCAGAGAAACCTGGACAGGCTTCTCTGTGTGGGCCCAGGTGAGCTCAAATCCAACTGCAAAATTTGGCCTCTGTGTTGTGGCAACCCCAACAACCAAAAGAAGTTAGGTGGCTGAAGGATAGAGCACAGCTCTTCTGTAAAGGACCTGGAGGTACTGGCAGATATCAAGCTGTACATGAGCAAGCAAAGTTCCCTCATGGCTCAGAAAGCCAACAGTATCCTGGGTTGCAACAAAAGCAGTATATCCAGCAGGATGAGGGAGGTCCCTCTACTCTGCACTGGTGAGAGATTTCATCTGGGGTAGTGTGTCCAGATGTGGAATCCTCAGTACAGGGGAGATGTGGACCTGTTTGAGTGTGTCCAGATGAGAGCCACAGAAATGATGCAAGGAATGGACCAACTCTCCTATGGGGACAGGCTGAGAGAGCTGGGGCTGTTTAACCTGGAGG